GCATTATACAAAAGAGAATTATGAATTTTGATAATGTAATTACACAAATTCATAAAGCACACAAGACTTTAACATGTAGTCATTATTTATGCAATCAATATATAATTCTTTAGCGTTTTAAATCCTAATCATGGTTGCTTTGATACTAATAGTTAAATTTATGTATAACTAATTTATACTAATTTAGGATCTACCATAACAGGAATTTAGAAAATACCTAATTCTTGATACATGATAGCATTAATAATATTGACCAGATTAATTGTTGAGATTCAGTGCACTAAGATCTTCCTTTTTTGTGTAACTTTAGACAAGACAAAGGACGTAGCCTTACCTTATATATAGAATCTCTAATTCCATCCATCAAGATTTAGGGTTTCCTACAGAGACGGAAGGGAGTGGGGCTAATAGGGGGCCTTCGCCCCCTCAAAAGAAAATTTTAAAATTTTTAAAATAATCTTTACTTTGTTTTTTGAAATTTTATAACTTTGCTCCCACAATAATTTTATAACATACCCTTATTTTTTTTTAGAATTTTATAATTTTACTCCTATAATAATGTTATAATTTTGCTTTTTATTTTATAATTTTTATAACATACCAAATAAGTCATTTGAATTTGTGTTTATCTTGCATCTTATGAAGGCATTGTTAGAGATAACAAAACAACTTAAGTCTCAAGACATATTAAATATAATTCGTTTAGTATTATTTATTAAAAAGTGTCTCCAATAATTGAGAGAAAATGGATGGAAACCTTTGCTTGTGTCAGTGAAAAAGTTTTGAGACAAATATGAAACTGAGATTCTTGACATAGGATTAGATATAAATTACGTAAAGGTCGTTTTCAAAAAGATCATGCCACAATTGAGCACCATTGTCGAGCTAACTTATTTCTAGCTGTTATTGTCTCACTTTTGCAAGAAGTGGATTTCAAATTTAATGAGAATGTGAAGGAATTGCTCACTCTTGGCACATCTTTTGGACCTTTAGAATGATTTAAAATTAATGGATGTTGAAAGAATTTGCAACTTTGCAAATAAATATTATTCTGATGACTTTACTAAACATGATAAAATGCATCTAAGCTATCAATTAGATCTATTCAAGTTTGACATGAAGAAAAAACTCAACAAAGAAGATAAGAAAATAAGAAGTGAAGAAAACTCAACAAAGAAGAAGATAAGAAGTGCATATGATGAATTTGTTATTTTTCTCTCTTATCATTTGATGCAAAGAAAATCTCTGCTTTTATAGAGTACATGAGTTGTTTGTATGGAAAGCTTTCAACTATACAAAAATAATTTGTGTTGAATTTTAACACATGTTAATTAAGATTTGGGGCTACTATTTGTAAATGATTTTGTGCTGATTTTTATCACATATAAGCTATGATTTTAGGTTGTTGTTTGTACATCTGTAAAGGTGATTTTGTGTTGATCTTCAGCACACATGAGTTGCAATGGTAATGTTGTTACTCTTTTTTTCAAATAAGTGATCTGCTTCTACATTCCCCTTCAAACTGGTCATGGGAAGATCTTATAAACCAAGTTTGACACAAAACCTTCAAAGATATTACGGGACAAAGCTTTTGTGAGGATTTCAGCTACTTGGTGAGTGGAAGGAACAAATTGAGTGACAAGTGAGCTTGAAGCCACTTTTTTTGCGGATAAAGTGATAGTCAATTTCAATGTATTTTGTTCAAGCATGAAAGGTAGGATTAATGGTAAGATGAAGGGCTGATAAATTATCACAGAGAAGATATGGTAGTTTGTCCATGTAGAGGCCAAGGTCACAAAGAACATAAGATATTCATATAAGCTCAACTACAGTGGAAGCTAATGCACAATACTCTACTTCTGTATTGGATCTCACAGTAGTGAATTGCTTCTTTGAGCTCCAAGAAATACAGTTGCCACTAAAAAAAATACAATATCCAATGGTGGATCATTGAGTAAGTGGACATCTCACTCAATCTGTGTCAGAGAAAGCATAAAGCATAAGAGGATTGTGAGATAAAAGTTTAATGCTAAATGAGATGGTTCCTTTAACATAATGCAAGATTCTTTTCACAAGTTGGAAATGATATTTTATAGGAGACTGCATAAATTGAGATACATAGTTAACACTAAAGGTAATATCAAGTCTAGTGAAAGTTAAATATTATAAACCACTAACAACGCTTCGATAAAAATGCAAACCTTTAAAAGGATCAATAGAGCAAAGATGAAGTTTAATAGGCATGGGAGTGGATATAGGTTTACAGTTTGACATTTGAGCTTTTCAAGAACATCATATGCATATTTAGTTTGATTAAGAAGGAGGCCTTGAGAAAAATGATGAACTTCAATGCCTAAGAAATAATGAAAGTGGCTAAGGTCTTTCATAGAAAATTCATTATGCAAATCTTGAATAAGAGTGTTTAAAGAGTGATTATCATTACTAGTTAATAAGATGTCATCAACATAAACCAATAAATAAATGCTGTTATTAAAATGATGTCTAATAAAAAGAGAAGAATCGGTTATGCTACAAGAAAAACCAATGGAAAGAAGAAAGATACTAAAACGATCAAACCAGGTACGTGGGGGTTGACAAAACCAATACAAAGCTTTCTTTAATTTGCAGACATGATGGATCTTACTATGATCTTGGAAACTAGGTGGTTGCTCGATGTAGATAGGTTCAGTCAGTTTACCATGAAGAAAAGCATTATTGACATCCAATTGTTTAATTTCTCAACTATTGGCTAATGCAATGGTAAGAACAATCCTTATAGTGACAAGTTTGATGACAAGAAAGTAGGTTTCAGAGAAATCTAATCCTTGTACTTGTGAATATCTTTTTGCAACCAATCAAGCTTTGAGTCTTTCAAGTGAGCCATTTGATTTTAACTTGGCCTTGTAAACCCATTTGCTACCAATGACATGCATATCAGAAGTTCTTGGAACCAACTCCCAAGTATCATTTTCTTCTAATGCAATGATTTCTTCCTTCATGGCTTAAAATGTACATGAGTTGTTTGTGTGGAAAGTGTTCAACGGTATAGAGATAACTTGTGCTAAATTTTAGCACATGTAAACTATGATTTGAGACTACTACTTGTACATGATTTTATGTTAAATTTTAGCACATATAAGCTAAGATTTTGGGTTGTTTTTTGTACATTTGTATAGGTGATTTTGTATTAATTTTTAGCACACATGATTTGTAATGTTAATGCTATTACTCTTTTCTTCAAATGAGTGATATGTTTTTACATGACATTCTTCATAATTAGGTTTTGAAAAATGCATCTACACTTTTTGAGTTATGTCAAGTGTTGAAGAAGACAAAAATATCAAAAGTGTGATTCCGGTTGACGGATTGATTTAACCTGTCTTGACTCTTCCAATTTCCACTATAACATCAGAGCTTGCATTTTCTACTATGAAACTCGTTAAGAACGAGACTTGCAATAAAATGTCAGATGATTTTCTTAAAAATTTGTTGATCATTCTCATTGTAAAGGAAATCATCTGAGGTTTTGACATTGATTTAGTAATAAATACCTTCAACTCTATGAAAAATAGGTGAGCTCAATTAAAGATGCTCAATCTTAGTATGCAATAGTTGTTAAAAGTGTCTTTATTTTGTACTTAACACATAGTTGGAATTATTTGTGTAATTTTCACATGCATTTTTTACATCTAAGTTATTTTATGTTTTGTCAAACATTAAACTTCTAGTATGACTATTTTATAGACATTTTCTTCATCCTCAAATGGAAAATCTTGACTCCACCACTAGTTTTCTACACAAGCCTACACTTTTAAGTCCAATATAATATTAGAGTATAGCCTACTTTATTAGATCATATTATGGACTATAATATTATCTCACATTTATCGTCCAGTCTTAGTTAAGAGGCTTGAAAATGGTTTTCAATGTTAATGTTCAATGGGCGCAAAAGTTTCAAGAATTTTGACAGACTCTATCAAAGTAAAAAAAATTAGGCAATAGTGAAAAAATGGTTATAGAAGTTATTGATTACTTATGAAATTAATAAATACAAAACTAGCATTTAAGTATTTGACTTATTGGTTGGTGTATGATCTATCTATTTAAAAAGCAGAGTTCGAATCTCCCCTCTCTCGATAATATAAAAAAAAGTTTAAATGTTCTTTCTATAAGAGATTATAACGCTGCAATTGTTAATCCCATTAATGGTGGTAAGTCACTTCTATCCTTAGTTGTCTTTAAATGAATAAAAATTGAACTTTCTAAAATGAAGAATTGGTAAACACTAAAATTTCTAAAATGATTGATCGAAAAATATGAATTAACAAAATATTAATTTAAAATGCAATGTAGAAAAACTTTCATCATGCCTGTTCTATTGTCTTTCACATTTGTTTTGTGGGCTTGACCGAAATGAGAAACCAAACCTTGCCGCACGCTAAAGTGAAATGGACATGATGTGGAATTAAGTGTTCCACGGTTTAAAAGGTCTTTCTTTATGCTTTTTGAAATGGGAAATGCCTAAGAGCTTTACACCTTTCCATCCTTGGCTGCTTTCGGCGTCTCCAACCTTGTTCAAAAGAGTTGAAGGCAAAATTGTTATTGATTGACTCAATATTTTTGTAATTAATTGTTTAAATTTTATATGCATCTTATATATTATTGCGCGATTTTTTAACGTGTAGATTTAATTTACATCTATTTAATAATAAAGATCGTTTGTAGATTACAATAATATTTTTTTACATATATATTTAATAATATTTTATGTGTGCATACACGTGTGCCAGTCAGTTTTTGATTAAAAAAAAGTAATAACGAAGTGTTGCTTGGGTGACCTCCAGCTTCAAAACAAGGAGCTTGATACAAGTGACATGATTAAAAGACGCCTTAAATAAATTAGATCAGATGTCAAACTCACAAATGTGACATATAGATATGTAACTTAAATTGAAAAACAAAATTCTGATAAATTGAATTGTAGTCATAAGAAATCAAACTTTTGAGAGTCAATGTGCTATGTTTTGATTGGCTTAGTGAACAAATGCTCAATGAGCTTACAAATACAACAAATAACAAAATGTGTATTACAGACACATTTGAATTTCTCACGAACAGCTACTGAACTAGGCAAAAAAGGAAAAGCAAAAGGGCTTGAAACTAAGCTTCATGATGTTGAGTGAGTTATGAGTTATGTTGTGCGTGTGTTCATGTGCTTGGCGCCCTCCTTTATCTATAAGAAATCTATCAATGGTTGCCTCTCACCTTTATAGTAACTGAATCTTCTAGCAACTCTTTGTTTTATAGCTGAACAAATTGAAGCAAGTGATGCTAATGTGCACCCAAAAAACACCAGGCAGTCAGCTCAACTGATTGAATTGAAACCGGTCACTTGTCCAATCCTAAACATATTATTTCAGCCCGGTTAAACATTGGCCAAAGATAAGGACTATCTTTAAGTCTGACTATTGCAGCTACTGCATGTTGATACAAGGACAATCTTTACAGTGTCAACCAAAAGTAAATGCAAATCATAGTAAAATTTCCTGCCAAAAAACTTGATGACACAAATACAAGTTGCCAACTGCTAAAAACTGGTTACTAGTAGTAATACCTTGTTGAAGTCAGGATTCCAGACTCTGCCACATTAGCAAACCTTCAGCTTGACAAAAAGCTAGGAATCAACTCGGCCAACTTGTTACCTCAGAAAGGACTCAGCCAACTTGTTCGGTAAAGAATCACAGAATTAATATTAATTCCTTAAAATCAACCATCCACAACACCCCGATCATCATCATGGGCACTAAAATCGTCAGAGGCATTAACAATAGGAATTGTTTCGTTCAGGCAGTTCACTTCACTGGTATCATCATCACCATATTCAGATGCCGAGCTAGCATCCATTTCCTTCTCTGGACAATCAAGCTGCACACATTCAGCTACTCCAGCACTGTGATTTTCTGAACCAAGGATTCTATGTGGAAGTGTCAAGTCTTCTTTCTTCACAACATTGAGCACAAACCCATTAAGGATCCTTTCAGGCTGCAGGAGATCACCTTCAGTCACCATAATGCTAGAACCATTAACAGGGGTTCTGTTCCCCAAATCCCTCTGATCAAACTCATATTCTGAACCTCTATCTGGTGTCATCACCCTAGAGCTGTGACCAAAAGGATCCCTACCTCCCATCTGAAATCCAGGAGAACCAGGATGAGCCATCAGACCTTTATTCACTTCAGCATCAACATCTAGATTTTGGACAAAATCGATGAACAAATTTGCAGAAGTAGTCCTCATCAACGGACCACCAGACCTTGTCCAAGAATTCAAGTCTACACTTTCAGACTCACTATCACTTCCATCATGCGTACTACGATGGGCTCGCAAATTTCTACTAGAAGGTGGTATTCCTGTGGAACCACCTACTCCTTGATGCAAAGATGAATTAACTTCTGTAAGATCTTCTTCAAGGGAGCCTGTTGAGTTTTCTCGTGCAATGCAATTCCAAGAAGGAATTCTTTTTGAAGCATTGAATCTGACTGTGCTGGTTAGGCCATGAGATGAAGCAGCAGCTCTGTCAGCACTCCTTTTAAGCCTACGCATGTGATTAAGAATTGCAACACACTCATCAAGGGCAAGCTCAATGCCACAGTTTGCTTTTATAGCAGAAAGCTTCTCCCAAGTGCATCTTCTCCCTTGGTTGGTTGCTTTTTGAAGCTCCAGATGAGATGGGTTCTGTATAATTTTTGAGTACTGAAATAGATATAACCATGAAAAAAAACAGCCAGTCAGTCACCATGGAAAAGATTATTCAAAAATATACATATTAAAAACAGCATAGATAGCCTCAGTTAATACATAACCTGCACTACTCTACTCATTTCTCAAAATAAATACAAATCTAGCTTTCAACACTAATCACCAGTGCTCAAGGATTAGACAATTTTTTACTTGAATGCCAACAAAGGTTAGTCTCAAAATGATTTTGCACATACCTGAGCAAGCGTGGCTGGCATAACAACAGTAACATCACCCTCCCAATCTTGAGCAAATAACTTGGCAAGTCCCCCCAAAGGAAAGCCCAGTTCAAGTATCTGATGACATCTATGTTTTACTTCCAGCTCAGTGAGTTGAGCAAGCTACAATTAAAACAATAAAATTAATTTATTTTATTTCATTACACCAATAATAAGACAAGAAAACAGAAAAGGATTATGTAACAACTAACAAAATACTAATACATATAATTCCTTAAATCCTTTGTCCAGAATTAAGCCACAAGCATTTTATTTGTTTCAGCTCTATTTATTACACCATGACAGATAACTTGGAAATAATATGTAACATTGTACATTCAGAGCATTTTGTTCTCACAAAATGCATTACATACAAAATGAAATTCTAAAAACGACTCCATACACATCTGAACATTTGACTTAGAGATTGGTGCATGATCCCCCTACTCAAAGAGCAGTGTTGGAATCCCTCCTTCCGCAAAATAAAAAGGAAAAAATGACTCCACACCACCACTGTATCATATTAAAGCAGCTTTTGTCTACACAGCTTGTGTGACATCACTCTGTAAATTATAAGATTAGTTGCTTCGTAAATCATTAGGTCCATATATGTGGGATCGTGTCTATGGTCAGTGCTCCTTTGCATGTGTGTAAGTGTGTGCGCTTGCATAATCCTTTGGAACTGGCCCTGTTTGGAATTGTGTCTGGGGAGCAAAATGCCCGTGTGGACCTTAAGAACAGTGCCAAACAAGCTTCAACTTCCAACTCAAAACAGCATTTACCGACAATGCATGACAGAAGTTAAAATTCTTCAACCATTTTAAATGGTGGTAAATTGTGGCTTTTTTTTTTTCCTTTTGTTTAAAATGATAACATTTACATAGAAAGAGTAAATTCCTTTTAATTGCAACATCAGTTATGCACATTCTTTTATAATTATTTCCTTGAAAATTAAAAATAACTTTGCAAGGAAATATTACAAAGAAACAACATTAATAATTAAATTTTAAATGATGACAAGTACATTCAGCACCTTGTCTCTTTTGAGCAATTCATCTCACAATAATTCCAAACACTCAGATTGCAAAAACATGCTCATCGCAACTTTTACTGTTTTTAAACAGTAACAACAGCGCCAAATTAGGTCTTAGCCAAGCTGAGAAGTTTAGATAGCTGTTGGCGGCAGCCACCTTCAACTTGAAGATGGTTATAGTTTCTCATTGGCCGGTCAAACACTTCTCATTACATAGTTCATTTAAAGTATTTCTGTTTCATTAAACAAAATTCTGATGGAAGATGATTTGAGGCTGAAAAGGATAAATAATAGTACTTCATTCTCTTATGCCCCTTGATACCAACCATCACTTCTTAAAATCTTACCAAAAAAGAAAGATCTATCCTGGGTGGAGAAGTAACTTAGCAGTCATCAAACACCAAAAACTAGTTTACAGAAAATGGTTTTATATGACAACTATGCTACCTTGTAGCTTATATTATATAGTAAAATATATGCAAAAGCACAGAAAAACTCTGCAAGTCAGGCTATGGATGCATTTTACTAAAAATTTTAACAAGGTAAAGTTCATTAATTACAACTCAGCTTCAAAAAGATAGTTGCCCCGCTACTGCATTCAATCCAAGGGATATCCCTCTACTCATGAACTAAAAACAAACTCACTGTGTATGTCTATGCATACAAGAGAAGCTAGAAGGTGGAGGTTGCAGAGATTTTCATTCATGTCTCAAAACAGACCGTTACACTGTTGGCTTATAAAATTATTTTTTTTAAATAAAGGCAGAGAACAAATAAATGGCATAATAACAAGAGTAAACGTAAAGCAGCATAAAAGATTCTTTCTTTTATTAAATGTGAGTCAATTTAAACATACCTTGGCAGCGAAGTCACCACCAAAGGCTCTCACAAACTCCTTCAACCTCAACAATGGTGCAATGTGAGGATTCGCCTGACTCACAATGAAATGATTTACATTAAACAGCTCCTTCAGTTGCATCATAGGCAAATCAACCTCCAAGCTGCCATCCCTCCACCGACGTGCTGATGTGCCAGAGCCCTCCTCAGGATCCAAATTAAAGGGTGGATGGTAAGGAACAATTTCTCCGCTCCTATCTTTAGCCATTAGCTCCTGGGCTTCAAAAAGGCCAGGGAAGGCACAAGACGCAGTTACTGCACTCCATATGACAACATGAGGTGAAGTCAAGTAATTAAGGCATCTAGGTGGCTCATGCTTCCTTGGAGAACAAACTGTTATCCCAAGAATTCGGCCAGTCATATCATATGCTTCTTGAAATGTAAGATTACTGGTGAGGTGCCTTAACATCCATTGTAACTGCCTGATCTCATGAACAGCCCCTTGTCTCATGACCCTCCTAACAACTGAAAAAATTCCACCCAGCTGATCAAAAAATTTAAATGAGCTCCAAGAGTAGTCAAAGAAACTTTGCAGCTCAGGCCACGATTTAGTGGCAACAACCGAACACATAATGGATCCTACACTAGAACCAGCAATTATCCTGGGCAAAAGCTTATGTTCTACCAGTGTTTTAACTACACCAATATGAAATGCTCCAAGGGAAGCACCCCCACTTAAAAGCAAAGCAGTTCTACCAAACGCATGCCTTGTTTCATGCATAAAAGAAAGCTTCTCTTCCAGTGAGAGCTCCTCCGAATCAGAGTCACAAACCATTCTCAACTGAGTCGAAACCTCATCAATGTATTCCTTGATGAGTTTAGGCACGTAAAGCCTACCTTTATGAAGTTCAGGATTACACATATTACCAAGATTTCTGATAAGATCAGCTCTCATGCAAAAGATTATATCTCTAAGAGATCCATCTTGGCGACGGTGCCGGAGCTCCTGAAGCTTGTTTCTCACAAGTTCCTCATCATAAAGATCTGATTCATTCATCTTCGGGGTCTCTTTATCAAGCATCTTAGCAGCATGAGCCCACTCTTCATATGTCAATGCAGTTCTCATCATATTTCTCCAAAATTTCCTTCTATAAGCCATCTCAGCCCTCAATTTTACATTTGTGTATCGTTTCAACAAAAAAGCAATAATTGTCACCATAGCCAATATCCCTTGTGGGTTTCGGGGATGCAACCATGATACCAATGGTGCTAAGAAGTCCTTACATCTATAGATGAAATGCAACAACACATGAAAGATTTGATGCCTCAAATGTGACAGTGACTTACAGAACAGGATCCTAAAAGCAATGGTCCGACCGATGATTGTTGAAGGACCAATCGAAAATGAATCAACACTGGCCTCGTTACTTATATCCATATCTAGTTTACAATGAAAATTTCTGTGCGGGGATGGCTAGCTATGTTATCAGCCAAGTTGCTTGACAGACAAATACAGAAACAGAGAAAGTTGAACTAGGAAGATTTAGGTAGTCCGTTGGGCAACAAATTTTCAGAAATTGAATGAAGAACTAAGATGGAAAAAATGAATATAGACCGTATTCCCTTCCTTTTGCAAGAAAGAACAAAGAAAAAGAGGAAGTGGTCCTAATGGATTTGTTCACAAACTTCAATTTGATATCACTAGATCAATGAAAAACTGATCCAATAAGCCTAATTTCACCAGCTGCTAATGTATCTATGCTTAAAGCCTTAGCTATCCTCTTCTGTATAACATTCAAAGGAAAGAGAAAAAGACAAAAGCTTTCCTGAAATCTATTAAAATCAGCAGAAAGAGAGATGCCAATTGATAGAAAAAAAATTTTCGAGGCAAAGCTGTTTGAACATATTATATCATGAGATATGGATAAAAGTAAAAGTTTCCAACCTCTTGACCTGAATTTCAACAACTTTCCGAGTATCTACAAAACAAGCAACTCTAATTACCAACAAAGAACCAAATTGTCTTAATAATATCTACGAAGACAAATCAAAGAAAACCCATAACTCCAATTCCCACCAGCAACACAAGAATCAAAGGTTCAGCTCGGTCTTCCTTTTTCCCACAAGAATCTAAGCAAAACCCAGATACCCAAAAAATAAAAAGCCTCTAAAAATGACTATAATCTCACATTGCCAACTCTAACCAAACCAATAAACAGAAAAATAAAAAGGGTTTTCCTTTGGCAATCCAAAAATTCCGATTGGTAACCAAAGAAAACCCAGAAGAACCAAATATATTCGCCAAAAGGCCAAAACTAATACAATGAAAAAGAAAAAGAGTTAACGTAGCGGGTAAATATAAGAAGCAAATCGAAATTATGGGGAAATATCGGGATCCGTGAAGAGATAAAGATACCGATATGAGCCAAGATGCTGGATAAAGTCGGTGATGGTAATAATATGCAAAGGATAAGGGAAATAAATAAAGATTCTGATCGTTGGCCCAACTTTCTATTTATAGAAAATATGTATGCATAATGCAATAAGTTTGGAAAGGAACAAGCTTTGATCGAGTTTAAGGCTGTTTTGTGTAAACGACACTGCTTTTCTTGCTTTTGCTTGCAAGATAATACAATTTTTCTTTACTTTGAATTTTGTATGCTTTGCCTTTTTGTTTCGAACACTGAATTTGTCAACCATAGCCTTCACTGCGTTATCCTACTTTTCACCTATCAAATCATGGATTTGTTATTAAAAGCGCACATTTACCCAAAAATTGAAAATTCAACCAATTAATAACTTGATTTAAATTAACATAAGTACTAAGCATTTGACATATCTTATCAATTGAAGTTCAAAACATATACTATTAATATCAAAATAATAAAAAAAATTTAACTAACAACATTTAACCCATCTTTAATTATAAAAATTTATTTGATTTAAAAAAATATAACAACTTCATTAATTATAATTAAAAATAATAATTTTTTAAAATAATATATAACTTTTAAAAATATATATTATACCGAAACAAAAATTCAACCTATTAAGTTGTCACGTGGTCTGAATTCTTGGTCGAAATCTTTGAGTAATGATTGAATAAAACTGCCAAAAAGGCCAAAAAAAAAACGTGATGGATAATGCGAAATAGAACAGGTGAGCGAAACGTGGCGTCTAATCTTCCAGTTCCAGATCCCGCACGCTTTATAAGACGGGTCAAATTTGCGGCTTTTGCTTTCCATGTAACAACAAAATAGACAAGTGTGGTTCGGAGAAACTCTTCGGCATTAAACTCAAGTCAATGTACTTAGATAATAAAATATAATATTCCCCTCAAGCTTTGGTGGGAAATAAGCTCATCCCATTGGCTTAGTTCCTATAATATCTTTCTTATCTTGAAAAAACAACCATGTTAATTATCAAATCGAATTTAAACTATTTATTTTTTATTTTTATTTTGATTGTTAACAATTTTAAAATACACTTAATCCCATCAATTACAAGAACACTCTTTATCCTCTTGGAAAAGTAATTGATCTAAAATTTTATTTATCAAAAGGTTAAAACTTAAGTCTAACCTTGTACGATTTAAAACTCTAAAAATAGAGATTTAAGTAAGTTTATAAGTCATGAGCTCACATTAACTTTGAAAATAGAGATTTAAATAAGTTTATAAATCATGGGTTCATATTTGTGACCTAAAAAACATGCTTGATAAGTGGTGAAAGATCCATATTTATATATTCAAAATAGTTTTAAACTCTAAAAATAAAAATTTAAATAAGCTTATAAATCATGAGTTCACATTTGCAATCCAAAAGACATACTTAATAAATAGTGAAAGACTTATGTTTATATACTCAAGGCTCACTTCATTTTTTATTGATGTTGTAAAGGAAAGAGATTTTTGCACTAGTTCGAGTTT